TAGGGGTATTAAATTAGTGAGTTATCAACACCCAAAATCATACCCCTAAGTCTAGGATCATTTATTTAACTAGGTTCCAAATTTTAATAATTTAATAAAATTACAAATTTATGCTTTAATTAATAAAAGCGAGATTGATTTCTACCAATTAATCCCCTTTTGGTTTCAAATATCCAAAGGATTTAGTTAAAATCAAAAGTTACCATTTTCCCTCTTTGAATTACGCCTAAATGTTAATTAAGGTCAACTAAAAAAATTTAAAAAGAAATTGTCAATTTTCATATTGTAAGAATTGCTGATGTTTATCAAATTTAATTCAAATGACTTTGAAATTTCCATCTCATCTCACTCATGGGTCAATTAAGACATCAGAGGAGAAAATGTGATTTTTCCAAATTTAATTTAATTTACATATTTAGTTTAATACAAAAATATGATTTATTAAAGAAAATTACATAACTTGACCAAGGCAAAGCCTAATCCCTTGAAATTTTTACTGGAGGTAGAATTAGACTAGAGAATCATTGAGACCAACTTTCATGATTTATTAAGTTTTATTGGAATTATTAAAATTCTTTCAAGTTCTGGAGTGTTTATTAATTTGAAAATATTTTATCTGTGGAAAATTAAGTTTTATATTTTTATTAAATCTCTTTGATGTTAAGGAACCCAGAGAAATAAATTTCACATTTTTTTATTTTTATTTGAATTATTAGAATTATTTTAGGGAAAATTCATTTTTTAGCCTTTAAAAAATATTCTTAAGTTTCAAAATTCAATATCTTTATTTAGAAAATCAGAAAAAATTTTCTAATTGTTCATAAGTATTTAGAAAACAATTTATAATATTTCTATGAATTTTATTATTTTTGTGATTTTTAACATTTTTTAATTATTCAAATATTAAAAATAGGCTAAAAATGAAGTTTTTATTTTAAACTCCATTTTATTTTAGAAAATTCTCTTGATCACACAAAACTTCAAAAACTAGTTTCCATAAATTTTTTAGTTATATTTTGATTATTAAAAATCATTTTAGTGTCAAAAATGTCATTTAACTTAGAAAATCAATTTGAGTTATCAAATGAGTTCAAAATATTTTGAAATTTTTATGGGGAGTTCTTTGAGTTTTAAACAATGGAGATAAAAAATCAAGTCATTTCAATATTTGTATTTTTCAAAATTAATTATCTTTTTGTTTTAGGGTTTGTGAAGGTTAGATGCATTTTCAACGACTTGACTCATGAAATATTTTTCAAATAGTTCTCTGGTCATAGTAGACCTACCAAAATTTTCTTAGATTTTTCTAAGAAACATGCTAATTATTATGATTAATTTATGTAAATAATAGACATAAGCTTGAAAAATATGGATTTTTGTCTAGTGGTCTCCCCCGACTTTGGAAAAATCACGAAACTTTGGAAAAATCAGAGATTGTTCCCTAAGCCAGAGGCTACAACATGTCAAAATTGCAAGCCATGGTGAGATTATTACATGCATGGAGAGTTAAAAGACTCATAACCCTAATTGATTTATTAAACATGAAACACATCAAATGTACTTCAAATTATGTCTACATTGTTCACCTCTGTTCACTAAGCAAGAAGGTATTTTTATTTTATTTTTGTGATTTTTCTACACCAAGATATGAATTTTCAAAGTTTAGGGACATTTTTTTATTTATTTAATTCCCTATTTATCTACTTAAACACGCGGCATCATGCCAACATACGGCGGCTCCGAAGCTCCAAGCGGCGCGCTTCTATTTGACGCTGTCATTCGCCTCAGCGGTGACTAGGCCCGCAGTTCATGTAAGGGAGTGTTGTCTGGCTTGATCTCATCCTTTGATGAGAAAAACGCGCGATCAGAAGGCTCTCCGTCATCGTCCCCAATGGCCTAGCCCGAGAACCATCCATCTTCAAGGCTTGATATCTCCCTCATTTCTCAACCAAATTGAATGAATTTTTTTTTAAATTGTCCGTCTAGAATAGAGGAACATATCTATATGGTTAAGATGCCATGAAATCAACTCTAAACAAATAGAGAGTGAAAATAAGCTCGGGAAGAGGAGGAGATCAATACCTTAGCTCTGAGAAGGGAAGCTTCAATCATAGATGCTCGACACGTTCGTTAAGGTCCAAGGACGCTAGGGATTGAGCCTCTTTCTGTGGTGAATGGTTTAAGTATGAACTCAACCAAGTTCAATTTCAAGTGCTCGTCTAGAGCTATGTTAGGATTTTTGTGGAAGGGGGATTTGATGGGGCTTCTCGTTTTTTCACAGTGGTGAAGGTGTTGGTAAGTTTAATTTGAGTTTGGTGGACTGTGGAGGTGTTTTGACCTTTGTCCTGGTTTTAGGCAGAAGTTTGAGCTCAAAATTGATCTTCCATAGTGGGAATCAGTGGGGGAAAGTGGTTGACTTGAGCTGAGGAGGTCTTAAAGAGTCTTTGTGAGCAATTTGGAGGGCTCTCTCTGAGAAGATTTCAAATCTCCTTCCATGGATGTGGAGGGGAGCTTTAATAAAAATTGGCCATGTGAACTTAAATTAAAGCCCAATTGAATAGTGAATTTGATGTAGATGATTGCAATGAACATTTTTGGTGAAGGATTGAAAGAATTTTGAGTTCAATTGGGGTTTCAATTTGAAGGATTTTGGAATTTTGGTGAATTTGGGCATGTTGGGCTAGACTTGGGTCTAGATTGGGCTAGGCTTGGGCTAAGTCCAAATTGATTGTTGAGAATGGTCAATAAGAATGTGATGAAGCATTTTCAACATGAATTGGGTGCCAATTTTGGGGTTAAGGCAATCAATTTGGTGGAATTTTGAGACATGACCAATTTGGGGCAAATTTGGGGATTTTTGGATTTATGTTGAAATTAAATAAAATTGAGGATTTACCAAGGCCAATTGAAGGTAAATTTTGATTTTTATGAATTTTATGAAGAGTTTTCAATATAAATTGTGGCAAATTGAGTGGGTTATGGGTTTAATTAGGTGAGATTAGGTCATGTGGTCAAAATTGGGGCTTTTGATTTAGATCAAAATTGGGCTCAAAGAATGGGCTAATTGAGCTTGTATTTTATTTAGATTGGTCATATGAAAGGTGAATTTAAGTTTAGGATTGAACTTGGTGGAAATTGGGACCAATTTGATGGACATTTGAGGTGGATTTGGGGAAAATTGGGCCTTTAAAGGCCATTTCGGGGTTTTGGTCAAAATGGTCGAAATGGCCAAATTAGGTCATGTGGTAGTTGAGAAAAGTGAAATTAGGAATATTCTGGATATTTTGGGAATTTTTGAGATTTTTTTGACATTTTTGAAATTTTGGGCTGAGGGGTATTTTGGTAATTTGGCAATTTTTTGGTAATTTTGGGTAATATGGGTAATATCTAGGTAATTTGGGGGAGTTTTGGGGCAGAAGACTAGGTTGGGCATCTTGGTAGAGTTGGAGTGCCAAACACCATAAATAAGCCATGGAACAATGAAAACCCCATTTTTGGTCATCTATGAATTGGTCTTAGCTTATGGCTCGATTAGCCTAAGGCCAGTGGGTTTAGGGGACCATCTACATGAGTATCTCAAAAGTATCAAGGGATCAAAGTTAAGAAATTTTGGTTTGTGCTTGGGAGCGGTTATGAGTGAGGTGATTGCTAGTGAGTGTCTTAGCTCTAGACCAACACCCAGGGCCAACCCTAAGGTCCAAATGTCCTATAGGAACTCTTCTTGAGCTCCCTCATATTGACCCCACCTATTAAGTGCTAGAGGTTAGAACCAATATGTAGCAAGTTGAATAAGAAGAGTTTAGAATTTCTAATGGTGAGGGTTCCTTTTCTAGTTTTCTAGGAATAGTCAACAAGAAGTCCTATGGCTAGACCTAATACTACGAAAGAGGAAAACTAGACCTCAACCAAAAATGAGGTCAGTATGGCGTTTTTTCGTCATTTTTAAGTGGGCCTACTCAGATACACGTGACAAAATTTTGTTAGAGTCCGGACATAATCTAGAAAATCTTTTTCCTATAGCAGAGGAGGAAAACTCCCGTAACTAATTAAAAGTGTTGGGGACCACACCCCTAAGAACATATAGTTAATAAACTATAAAATACTTAGTGACCCTTAAGCAAATACACAAGTAAAATACTAAAGCACTAAGTTTAGAGTTATTGGAAAATGAAGTATGAGTGACTGATTCCAAAGAGAGCTGCTTCAAATTTGATGACTTTGACAGCCAACCCATCGGATGGGAAAAGAAGATGAGATGAGTTGAAGATAAATATCCACGAAGAGAGATGGGCTTAATGTTATGGAGAAAAATTTGCTTACGTAAGACGTACACAACGCTGCGTACGTCAGGGAGGTTATTCAGATGGTATTGACCGTGTTATACCCCCGTAACCTCTCTGTAACATACTTGTACCTTCTAATAAGTTTCGCGCTTCTGTTTTCATATATTTATAGGTTACATGTAGGTTAGGAGATGATTACAAAAAATTATAATGAGTATAACGTGAATATAACTTTCAATACCCTTTGAATAACCTCTCAGACATATACAGTGTTGGATAGTCCGTAACTCTTTTATAAGATAAGATTGTAATATTAAATATATAAACAAGTAAAAATTGTGTGTTAAGTCTGGACGAGGCGGGCTCAAACACAAGCTTATTTTATTTCTTCCCTTCCATCTCTCCAAGCTCCAAGGCAAATCATGGATAACCCTCAATCCACCTGTAACGGCGACGCGCACGATCGATGGTCCGATGCGCTTGACCGAATCCACTCACCCCCTCTACCCTCCCTTGCTGCCGCCGCCACTGCCAGGTCCCCTTCTTCTCCCTTTTTCCCTCCTCTGCCTCCGCTGTTATCCACATCTACGCTTCGCTCAAACTTATTGCCTGAGCTAAAGGAAACAGATCAAGACCATCAATCCGATTCTCCTCCCGCTGGCGATCCTCCTGCCTCCTCCTCATCCTCCTCCTCCGGCGAGGAACCCTCTGCCCCTAAGAAGCAAAAACCTCTTTCCTCTTTCACAGATGACCCCCAATGCCTCCCCCCTCCCCTTCCAGCATCCTCCGCCGCTGCCAAGAAGCCCAAAAAGAAGAGCAATAACGTCTGGACCAAATCCACCTCCCGCAAGGGTAAGAAAAAGAGCAAGCTGAATTCGACCCCGCAAGCCCCGGAAGATACCGTTCTCATCACTCCTATCGCTCGCTTTCCCGATAAATCCGATGACTTTCCCGACGCCAAAATCTGCCTCTCTCGTGTGTACAAGGCGGAGAAGGTCGAGCTAAGTGACGATCGCCTCTCCGCCATGAGTACTAAGGGATATAGGATGGTTCGTGCTACGCGTGGGGTTGTTGATGGCGCTTGGTACTTTGAGATTAGGGTGATTAGGCTAGGCGAGTCCGGACACACGAGGCTTGGGTGGACAACAGAGAACGGGGACCTTCAAGCACCTGTCGGGTATGACGGTAATAGCTATGGGTATAGGGATATTGATGGGTGTAAGATTCACAAGGCGCTGAGGGAGGAGTATGGGAAGCAAGGTTATTCTGAGGGGGATGTAATTGGTTTCTATATAAGTCTTCCTGAGGGAGGCCAATATGCACCTAAGCCTCCCAATTTTGTGTGGTACAAGGGGCAGAGGTACATGTATTCTGCCACAGGGAAGGATGAGCCTCCAAAGGTTGTGCCTGGTAAGTGACCCTTCCTTTTTCCCATTGTCGATTTCTAGGTTATGGTTTTTGGTTTCTTTTGATTGTAGCTACATTCTGCATAAGTTATTAATTTCTATTTGACTTGTATGTTTCTAATTTTGTTCTATTTGCCTGCCTGCGTTTGATCGCTTCATTTCCTTAAGAATTAGACTTCCTTTCGAAGACATACTCTGCAATTGTTCATCTTATTCTTTTTTTATAGACTTTGAAGTTTTAGGTCAAATCTCTTTATTTTTCTTAGTTTTGGAAAGTATAGACTTTGAAGTTTTAGGTCAAATTTCTTTATTTTTCTTAGTTTTGGAAAGTATCAAGCTTTAAACTTTTCCAGACCCCTGTAGTTACCGTTTTTTGTTTGATCAAACATTAGTATGTTTCTTACTCTCTTGTCAACCTTACAGTTTCACCTTTCTTTTTTTGCTAGTTTTCCGTTCATCAATTCCATCAAGCATTAGACATATATTGGTGATACTAGAACTCTTAAAACTCTTCTCTTTGAGCTGTTGTGGCTTGAGCAATTATCTTGAGAGCCATTTCAGTATTTGAACAGTTGGATGTGAGGGTTAATGAATTGATGGCAGCTGCATTAGTTATAGCACCAGTTCTTTTTTCCGTCAGGCATTATAAATCTCCTTAACAACTCATTAGGAAGTTGTCTCCAGTAATCCGTTTACTCGCAGCATATTATCCTTTGAAGTCATTTCTATGCCAGCTTGTCTCATCTCCACTGCATTGACTAATTTATGTTTGGTCAAATAAGATTTGTGCTAGTAAATTTTCCTTGGAATTACAAAAGCAAGGTAGATGGGCAATACTCATCTGAGAATTTATGTTCTAATGTGTTAAGCAATGGACAGTATTATCTGTAAGCTCACACAAGAAGATAAATTGGTGATTGGACTTGAGAATTCTAGTTGATCATGCTGCATTTTAATCTTGATTGTTGTATTTAATGTCCATTCAAGGTCACATAAACATGACAATAGAGTGACAGTTTGAAATCAGGCTATGACAGGAGTGTGGTAACCACTAAAAAACCAGTCATGAACAAACCTTTTTAAAATGTTTGTCATACAAGAGTAGCAGAGAGTTTGAAATCTAGCAATTACACAAGTAACATAACCATTTATGAACAAATTAATTTATATACCTTTTCAAAGGGAAAATTGTATACCTAGCACACCATTCGTTGTTTGTATTTGCACATGTCACACCTAAACTTTCATATTTACATATATGGCACTTTGGTGTTTTAAATCTATGCATGAAAATGTGTTTTTTCACTTTTAAAATTTTATAATAGTGCTATTTTTAATGTGATATTAAATATTTGAGTGTTGTTTGTGTAAATATGAAAGTTTTGATTTGAGTCATGTAAATACATTAGAATTGTGTCCTATGAATGTAAATGTCCCTTTTTTAAAATGTTTTTTTATGGTTGTGTATGCTTTTGAGTGTGTGTGCTTTTGAATGTGTGGCTTATGCTTATGTGTGGATTGGCTTGTGCTGAGAAATGGTGGTGGTGGTGGTGGTGGTGGTGGAGTGCGGGCAATTAATGCATTGTTGGATGAAAGTTTCTTTTGGTTGGTAGCTAATTTAGCTATTTTTTATGTTTCCAAGTATTGCGACTTGGTTAGTATTCCTATTTTTTCTACAAGTTTGGTAGGATGTCTTTGTATCTGCCTGGTTGGGTGAGTGAGGGTTGAGTGGGGGCATTTTATTGTGGTATCTATTTTGGCTTCCGACGAACATGCTATTTATTTATTTTTTTTGTTTTGAAAGTTTATTCAAATTTCATTTTTTTTGTGCTGTCAGTGTAACATAGGAACTAAAAAATGTGATTCAAGTGATTAAGTGATATGGAAAGCTTGATTTTCATTTTTACGTCATGCATTAAATTTGATCGATCAGTTGTTAGTATCATTAATTTGTAACAATAGATGTTATTATGTCAATGATTGAACGGTAACTATTCCATTTGGTAACAATGCAACTTGTTTTTCTGTTATTATGATGATTCAAAGGGGAAATTTTGAAAACTTTGTTGGCATCATGTGCTTGTAATAATCATTATTAGATTTCCTATAATCAAGTTTCCTTATATACAACCATTATATTTATTACTTTCCATAACACTCTCCTTCGAGCTGGAGCATAGATATTTAGCATGCCCAACCTAACTCCATTAATGTTTTTTGTGAAGATGTCTCATAGCTATATCCTAGTCTTTAGATGAGTTGTAGAAATCAAATTTTACTTAATCTTTTTATGAACAAAATAACAATCTATCTCAATGTACTTAATTTGTTTATGGAACACAGGGTTTGAAGCAATATGAATTGCAGCTTAGTTATTACTCCACAATTTGGCTGGAACTTTCATCTGAAAACTCATTTTGGACAAGTTGGGAGACTCAAATCAATTCACTTGAATCTTATGCTATTGCTTGGTACTTAGAACCAACACTGGATCGTGACACAGCGTTATGTTTTGTACTCTTCCATGTGGCCAAATTATCGCCAACAAAATCCCAATATCTACTAATGGATCTCTGATTAATCTTGGAACTTGTCAAATCTGTATCAATGGATCTCTGATTAATCTTGGAACTTGTCAAATCTGCATCAAATAAACATTCAATATTTTTATGCCCATTATTCTGATATAATATATCTTATCCATAACCTTTTTTGAGGTAAAAGAGTTTATATTTCAAAACTAACCAATGATAAGCTATCGGGAAAGACATGAACTGACTTATAATGCTAACTGGATAAACAATGCCTGAGTGAATCTTTATGAGAGGTAGTTTAATTTTTTACTTTCTATATCGTTTAGGATCATTAAAAATCTCTCCATCATTGGTAATTTTTGGTTACGATACATTTCTATTGAAAGTTGAAAGATACCTTTCTTGCTTTACATTTACTTTACTCTTCTAGTGTTTCGCTAAATTTTTCAAATTATGCCCAAGGACTTTGCTTCAATCCATATAATGACTTCCGAAGCTAAAATGTTCTCCTAGACTTAAGATTGCTTTATGTATATCTCTTCTAAAAGTTCACCATGCAGAAAGATATCCATTACATCAATTTGGTGTTGGGGCTAATCAATCTTTTCGTTAAGACATTTATTTCATCAAACATTGTTGCCCGTCACCTAGAATCAGTTAAAGCTGTTGAACATATCTAGGGACCTCAACGGAGGCAATAGAAGCAATTGAAGAGCAAGAAATTGAATATAACTAGTTATATTTAACACAAAAGGAAATGGGATAGGCACATTGATGTTTCTCTCTTTGAAGTTACATCATGGTCACTCGGAGAAGGGTCCGTTGAAGAAGATGATGTCGTTGCCAATTTAAGATAAGAGAGATGAGATTTTCTAGAGTAAACATTAGTGATGGGTGGTGTAGACTAAAGCACTTTTGGTAGAGGTGGAGATGGAGCAAGATTTGAACAGACGATGTTATACATTAACAACTCATCATAATCTTGTGAAGATTTAGGTTATGATGAGTCACCAAAGGATGAGATTTGTTTGTAAAGGGTGACATCAACTGAAATCATTTACCTATTTAAGAGAGGAAAAACATTAAACCCTTTTTTTGCAAATAAGGATATCCTAGAAAGACTCATCTTAATGACTTAGAGTCTAGTTTAGAAACCTGTGGACGACCATCAAAAATAAAATAAGTACGCTCAAACATACGTGGTTCAATTAGAAAGAGAGAGTTGGATATAGAACTTGGTAGGGTATTTGGTTTTGTAAAATAGTAGAAGACATCTGATTAATAAATGAACATGAAGTGGAAACTGCATCAACCCATAATTATTTGGGCATATTAGTTTGAAACAGAAGGATTCTAGCTTCAGAGTACTGTATAATTTGATCCCTAGTTTCTTAGTTTCTGCTAACAAGTTTAAAATACATTTCTATTGAAAGTTGAAAGATACCTTTCTTGCTTTACATTTACTTTACTCTTCTACTGTTTCGCTGAATTTTTCAAATTATGCTCAAGGACTTTGCTTCAATCCATATAATGACTTCCGAAGCTAAAATGTTCTCCTAGACTTAAGATTGCTTTATGTATATCTCTTCTAAAAGTTCACCATGCAGAAAGATATCCATTACATCAATTTGGTGTTGGGGCTAATCAATCTTTTCGTTAAGACATTTATTTCATCAAACATTGTTGCCCGTCACCTAGAATCAGTTAAAGCTGTTGAACATATCTAGGGACCTCAACGGAGGCAATAGAAGCAATTGAAGAGCAAGAAATTGAATATAACTAGTTATATTTAACACAAAAGGAAATGGGATAGGCACATTGATGTTTCTCTCTTTGAAGTTACATCATGGTCACTTGGAGAAGGGTCCATTGAAGAAGATGATGTCGTTGCCAATTTAAGATCAAAGAGATGAGATTTTATAGAGTAAACATCAGTGATGGGTGGTGTAGACTGAAACACTTTTGGTAGAGGTGGAGATGGAGCAAGATTTGAACAGACGATGTTATACATTAACAACTCATCATAATCTTGTGAAGATTTAGGTTATGATGAGTCACCAAAGGATGAGATTTGTTTGTAAAGGGTGACATCAACTGAAATCATTTACCTATTTAAGAGAGGAAAAACATTAAACCCTTTTTTTGCAAATAAGAGTATCCTAAAAAGACACACCTTAATGACTTAGAGTCTAGTTTAGAAACTTGTGGACGAGTATCAAAAATAAAATAAGTACGCTCAAACATACGTGGTTCAATTAGAAAGAGAGAGTTGGATATAGAACTTGGTAGGGTATTTGGTTTTGTAAAATAGTAGAAGACATCTGATTAATAAATGAACATGAAGTGGAAACTGCATCAACCCATAATTATTTGGGCATATTAGTTTGAAACAGAAGGATTCTAGCTGTATCAAGAAAATGTCTATTTCTCCTTTTATCTACTCTATTTTTTAATGGAGTATCGCCACAAAATGATTGG